ATAACACATAATATATGAAAAATACAAAATAATTGAATTATAGTTCACTATTTCTTAAAATTAGCAAAACACTGAATTTAAAACTGTCATGATTTGATAAAAAAATCTAACAAAAAGGATATTTTATTAATTAGATTGGTATGTTTAAAGTACAAGAAAAAGATGAATCAGCAGCAAATTTTTTTCAAAAAGTATGGGATAGCAAATAATTATTTACTTCTAAAAGAGATAAAGGAACGTGAATACATAATTGTGCCAATAAATATGGATAATCAATATTACATCTATCAATTATTGACTTCTAAGGAACAAGAAATCTAGGAACTGTTAACAATATTATAAGCTTCTCTAGATTAGGTAAACTAGTGATAAATTCTACTCTCTTTAAAAATTTGTATTAAACAACTTGGAGATTATTGATAACGTTGATAAATGTTGTGACCAAATCAATGAGCCTATTTATAACGAAGAAGATAGGTACAAGAGAACAAAATAAGTTTTTATGTAACATAAATTATTGAAATATTGAGTATTTCTATTAATGAAATCAAGCTTTTTAAATAATTTATTAAATATTATCTTATGATTAATTTTAAATGACAAATCATGTTCAAAATGAATACCTAAATGGTAAAATCATTCATGATATAAACTCTATTTAAATCATTATTGTTGATTTTATACATAAAAAATAATTTGATTTTTGGAGAGAGTAAAGGAAATAATCTTACATTTAATATTATTTAGAGGTAGATAATTGATTTTACGTACCTCGCAAAAAACGGTTCTTCTGCAAAAAGTTCTGCAGAGTTTGCATTAATATTAATTATATAGTAAAGTTTAACATCATCTCTGTAAAGTAATATATTTATGAGATTTTTAAATAATTGAAAAAGGTCATTAATGAAGAGTAAAAACAAAGCAATTATTATAAAGTAAATATAACAATAATATTTCATGTGAGCCGTGTATTATTAATGCTTAATTTCGTATTTCATAGTTTTTAATGAAATATTTTTTAAATATTTTTAATAATTCATTGAAAATTGAAACGGGCGTTGCTAAAAACTATATATAATTCAGGCATATGGTACTTCAAAAGAATTAAACGCTAATGTCTGATAACTTAAAGTTTTTTTTACAAGAAAATGTTTACCAAAATTGGGTATAAAATGGCTTTAAAATTATCAGTTAATTTCTCCGTGTGTAAGAGATAAGCTTCTCTGCTATGTGTTAGATAAAAATATCATTACGAAGGTTTATACAAAAATATAGATTCAATCAGGTGTCTATTTTGTGTCTAGAAAAATGCAAGACAAAAAATATTAATAAAGATACTATTTAAAAAAAAAAATACAGATAAACATAAATATGTTAAGTTAAAAATTAATATAAAGAAAATTTTACTTTTTTTAATAATTAAATCAAAATTTGTATGATTTATTTGTAAAATAAATAATTTTTAAGTATAAATGCAGTATATAAATGTTAAGCAATTAGCGCAAAATATAAATACATGGGGTATAAAGGATGAAACCATTTGCAGGTTTATGGCCTTTGTTATGTTTATAATTTTAGCCCCCCCTTTCTACAAAGCCAAATTTACGCCTATAGTAAAATGTTATAATAATTTATATCAACGGACCCGAAATCGTTGAATGGTATAAATATATAAATAATTTAATATTAATAGAAATATTTTGAAAATTTGATTGTGTATAATATAATAAATAATAATTTACCAACAATATGGCAAACATTTGAAATCTTTACGAATAAAATTGTTTAAATTAACAAAATAACTAAAATAGTTATTTTTTGTTTAAATATCCAATTACACGAAGGTTCATCATTAGATGGTTTGTTCACTCAAGTCCTCAGTATTTTTTTTATATGTAGCTAATTTATTTTATTTTATAAACCTAACCTTACAAACATAATTTGTGCTTATTGTAAAAATATATTTACAGCTACAAATATTATAAGTTAATATATATATATATATATTTATAAATCTAAATACCTTTTTTTTTCAAGTTTTTAATCGATGACGCCGTGGGAACTGCTTACGCATTACTTCCGCGACCCCGCGGCCATATATCCAAATACCTATCCAATTTGGTACTAAGTTAATATCCAACTTCTACGTAAATATTATTTTTCATTTAAATATCGTTTAAAAAAAAAAAATTGATCTTCTCCACTCTACAAAATTACCAACCAAAAATTACATTTTTCTACTTTTTTAAAATAGAAAATTGAAACATTTTTTATATTTATTTGATATCTACCTATAATAATATAATACGCAGTTGCCATTCTTTTATTGTTTGACTTTCCAGGTTTTGATTAAAAATAATATACATTTGATTTATTTAACTTGAAGCAAGGATAGGTACTTATAATTTGTACCTAAGTTTTCTAACCAAATGTCAGATTAGTGATTAATAATTACGTTTAAACTGTATAAAATACATTAATAATTTTTAATGGTATAGACAGGTGTATAATACAATTTACCATTAAATCATATGATATTTATATAATTTACCATTAAATCATATGATATTTGTATAATTTACCATTAAATCATATGATATTTATATAATTTATTGATTATTCAGTACAATATTTTGCTAGTATGATTTTCGACTTTTCGTGTAAAGGGCTTAAATCATAGATTTCGCAGGAATTTTATTCTATTGTAGCATTTGTAACACGCATATTATTTAATCAGTTTGACAGAACAATAAGCACTAAGCAACCCACTTATTTATATCATCATAACATAGATAAAACTGGCAAAAGGTGCAATAGCTAAAAACAATGTAAGTAGGTACTCGTATATTATGAATTTATGATAGATTAAAATTATTAGGCTTAGTTAATAGTTTTAATTTTTTATAAAATATAGAGGTATAAATAAAATTGCTTATTAATTTATGTGAGTATTAACTGTTTATACTACATATTAATGCGGGTTGTACCTGTAATAAATATAATCATGTAGGTACAAGGTTTTGTATGTTGTGCATTTTGTGAATATGATCGTCACTCTTCAGTCTTCAGTATAAAATCTAAACTCTTCGATTGATAAATAATTTTATAATTTTTCATTTGATTAATCAACTACATTGAACATTCATGTTTTAATTTAGTTTGAGTACAATATTTTTGAAAATTATTTACTTTATGTATGTAGTTTTTTAAATCGACCCACTAAATCCAAAATAAATTGTCGACTGTAGCGAACCATAGGTATCATAATTTGCTGCGCCTGGCAACCCAAGTCTATGATTTATATTTAGTCATATAAATATATATCGTTTTAAATGGCAGTGCATTATTTTTTAAACAATTATTGCAAATAAAAATTTACCTGTTTTAACGATGTTCAATATCATACACTTATGTCCAATTAGATAATATGCATTATCTACACTTAGCATCAAGTTTCGATAGTTGAAACCTCTTAATAAATTCAATATTATTAAAAATTAGAAAATCGTTAGCATGTTATCGAAATACCCTTAGTATGCATAAGGTACAAGAGTGCAAGACTGAATTTATCAGTTTTGAAAAATTTTCATTTTTAGTTAAAACAGTCGATATAATTTATTTAAATAATAATAATTTAATAATATAATATGAATAATGTAAGACAAATATCATTTGAAATTATCATAGTTCGTGACTTTTTAAATAAAATGTATGGAATAAATAGGTGATAAACAGAGCCTAATTTAGGGGCTGTAGCCCCAGGCCTCTGTTGATATTTAATTATTAAAGTGGCACTGTGAAATTTTATGGTATTATTTGCTTACGTATAGTTTGGTTATTCACGTATCGTAATGGAATTGATGATTATTCTCTAATCGATAAAATAAGCTAGGTATTAAGTTTTAAGATAAAGTTGGTCAAAAGTACTTTATTGTTATGATTAAGTTAGCATTGATTATAGAAATATAACGGGTTTTCCGTTTTTGCGAGCGCTCAGCTCTTGTCAAAATGCGGGTATAAAACAAATTCAAAATTAGAACTAATTAAAAACGCCAGAAGAACGTCTCTCCACCAAGATAAATTAAACTCACTCATTCGTCTATCTTTATCTGCTGAAAGGGAAATAACTAACACACTTAATTTTTCAGATTTAATTCAAAAGTTTAGTGAACTAAAATCTAGAAAAAAACCGTTGTCTTAAATTCTAAATCATGTAAATTTTTTTATTATTTACATTTACAAAGTTGAAAAATACATTACCATTTTAATTTTGTGTACATGTATATGATAATATGTAGGTATATCAGCAAACATTTTTTAAATTAAAAACTGTATCTACATTTCTTTACTTATATAGGTATATATTTTTAAATTCATCGCTTTATTTAAATTAATTATCATTAAATAATTACTTATAGACTTATGATATAGTTTATTTATGATTTTATTAAATAAATTGAGTATAAAAATCCATATAGCAAAAAGACTGCATTTATAATTTAAGTTGATAATTTAGAATTTGGATAATAATTCATTTTGGGGCCCAATCAAAAAATTAGACCCGGGCCCCAAAATTCCTAAGTTGGGCTCTAATGATAAATTAACTAAACATGGTTTAAGTATCAAGTCAAACCATTTATATTAGTCGTTTAACTCGAATCTTGTTTAAGTGTTAATAATGACATGTAAATAAAATCTTAAGAAGACTAATTAAATTTTGATTTCAACTAGACTGGTACAAATGTACAGTCAAGCCTATAAGTATAATAAATAGTATAATAATATTATAATATACATACCTAATTGATTTATTACAATTTACAACTTTCTATACAACTGGCCCTCAGGGCTTAGGCTAAAGATTTATCGCGATCTAGTGGCTTATATATGAGCTGACAAACACTTCAATAGCCAACAGCAGAATATGTTGCAGCAGCTGTTTTTATTGTGAAAAGGACAAAGTGATAAGAAAAATCCGTGATATGAACAATTTATGATATTATCAAATATCAACATTTGTGTAATTCGTCTTGTGACTTGTACTTAGATTAATAATTGTACGTTTGGACTTCTAGAGTTAAAAATTACTTGAATTTTCAAACCGTTGGCGAGTGACAAGTTGATAGTTTTTACAATAGCACAACCACAGTCTAAAACCATGTTGTCAAAACAGTTATGGAGATCGTTTGCTGCGAGGAACAAAATCGCAAATGGTTTATTTAAGTACAAGTAATGTTGTCACGTTTTACTTATAAGTCAACTTAATGAGTAGTTCTTAATTTTAACACTTATTTTTAGTGAAATAAAAACTCAGTCATCGTTGACTGTCACTCGAAATGCATCCAATAAAAATGATATTGATGCAGAGTTAAACAAACCTGTGAAATATACGACAAGTCCTGCTCACGACTGGAAGGCACAGCATTCTCGAATTGGAAGCAAGGCTGAATTTGGTCCATGGTATGAACCCCACGCCGTTAGTTTAAGCTTAATTATATTTATGATATATTTTTTCATATTACGTGAAGAAAACGATCTTGATTTATTGTTGGATAAACCATTGTCAGAAACATTAAAAAAGGAGTAAATGTTTTGTTATTTTAGAATTTTATTAGGTATCTATGAATACATTTTAATTTACCTAATAAATACTATGTACATTTGTTTTGATTTTGAGTAGTACATTTATAAATTTAAATATGTCATAAGTTTATATAAAATACATATGATGTAATTATTATAAAAAACAAAATGTGTATGTATATTTTTTGAATATTTAAGCTTAATAAAATATTAACTAATGGGTCAATCTGAAATAAAATTTATTGTGAACACCATTACTTACCTAATATTTTTCATCAGATGTTATGAAAATACTAAATAACATGTAAAACTATAAATTAGAAAAATACTTTAAATGCTCTCTTCAAATTTAAGTAGTAAAGTATAAATATACGTATAAAATAGGGAAGACCATTGTGAACTATGTAAATTTTATTAAATGTGTACATAGTATTATGGATATTTTATATTAGGTGTTTTTTTTTTGTTGATATGAATAATAATAATAAAAATGTTATAGGTGTGTTGTATTATGCTCTGTTTTAAGTAGAATACACCAGTTCTGCACATTTTTATCCCCTTCCATCAGCTACTACTTATGCCATTTTATGGGAAATACATGCCATTAGACGGAAACAGGTCGCTGCCTGATGTATTCTATTTTGAGACATAGTATAACTAAAAACTAAATTTACCATTAGGTTTGATTTTTTATTAACTATATTTCATCTTATTTATACTTGAAATGGGTGTATGACTAGTGATTACTAATGAATATTGTAATATTATTATTTATAATATTGTAAATTAGTATATATTATTATATTTCAATGAATGGTATAATCATCTTAGGTGTTTAATTTGTGCATTTGACTACAATAATGATGGTCATGAGAAAATGTTCCCTTTATAGGACACTCCCAGATAGTTGTTAGAATTGAACCAAAGTATGAACATATAGGATAGTATGACTACCTTGCCAATAATCTTATTGCATACCTAATTATTTAAATATTTGTTTTTAATTAACAAAGTAGGTATTTAAAATAAATATTCATTGTGATAACTTTATCTTGTATGGTACACTTTTAACTTGAACTTTGGATTTTAAAACTTAAATAATTATCTAAAATTCTAAACTTAACATTATGGACAATTAAAAAAGTTTTTATGTAAATAAAAACTTTTTATATTAAAATACTGTTTTAATATAAGAATAAATATTCTATAAAACTAATGATAAAAAAATGTGTTTTAAATATTTTAGTATGTTTTATACCAAGAGTGTTAAAGCAATGTACAAAATATTAAGATAACCATCATCAAGTTATCTTTTGTAATACCATTATTTTAGTTAAGTATTTGATTATCAAATTATTAGCATTTTATTCATCTAAAAAAATTAATTTATTCATTGTATTGTATAACCATCTAGGTCTAGTCTTACTGATTCAAGTTATTTTAATATTTTCTGACTTACTTAATAACCATCTTATATATTTTAGTATTTTAAACTTAAATGTTTTATAAGCTTTAATTAATTATAAATATCCTATATATCTGATAGTAACATGGTTTTTGGTGGTATATAGGTTGTAACTTGTAAATAACAATTATATATCTATATAAAACAATATATATATGTTAATATTGTTATTTGTATGAAAAAGAGTAATAAAAATGGAATTATTGGCAGTAGCCAGTAAATTACATATTATTTAAATTGAAATATTTAAAAATATGACTAAATTATTATAAAGTTGTACTTCTATTAAAATATTTGTGTATTTATTGAATCTTGTTCATAAGCAATGTGATGAAACCGTCTCATTAAATTCAACTTAATAAAATATAAATGTTTCTAAAAATAAATAATTAAAATCCTTTCTTATTGTGGTATGTGTGTAACATAAACCAACACATATATTTTTTTGATTAAATAATAATATATTAAATTAAGTTTGTATTGTTTGTAATACGATGTTTTGAGGTTATTTTTCCGAGGATAAACGTTTGAGATTTTTATATTATACCATGTTTATGGTTATAAATTATGATATAAAGTAGATTTCAACCCTGTCATTACAACTAATTACAACTAATTTAGTTAGTAATTAATAAATAAACATGTTGTAAAGATGCATATTTTTGTGTTTTAAAGATGTTAAATTATTGAAAGTTTATCGCCAGACCAATTACTGTTAAGATGACGTTATATGATCATGATGTGTTGCCTTCACCTTACTAAAGCATAACAGTAAATTTTAAAAATAATTCATTTTACTCTGTTATTTTTAATATTAGTGTGAATTGACCTATTATCAAAATTAAATTATTTAAAGGTAAAAATATCATCTATTTGTTGATAGATATATTAATTTTGAAGTAAATTATGAGCATTTTTTAAGTTTAAGAAGAACTTTTAATATAGTAATTTAGTAACATTAATGATTTATTTAAAAATAAAAATATGACTATATTTTAGCAAATTATTTACATTAAAAGATGTCTTATATTTTTTAGCTTTAAAAAATAGTCAACAGCTTCATGTAAATTGATTGAAAAGTCTATTTTCTATCAAACTGTTATAATTGGTTTTCAACATTTTTTTTTTAACTTGTTTAATGATGAAACAAAATTTACTTTGATAAAGTTATATTTAATATTTCAGTAAGTAAATTAATACATGTCTACTGTTCGTTATGCCTACTTATATTAAATTCTAACTATAGAAAATTCTTTGCACTATTCATCATAATTGGAAAATAATATAATAATTGGGAATATTTAGTCAAAACTATTAGTTTACCAAATCGATTTTGTTTTTTTGCCGTAATTAGTAATTTTTTTTTTTTAAATAAGTGTTTGAAGTTTAAATTTTGATAAAAGAACATCTTTCTGAGAATAGTTTTTCCTAGATACAATGAATTGAAATATAATTATTAATATCTGTACTTTATTACCTTAAAAGTTAAGATTCAATTAAATACGTGATATATTTTCATGTTTTCACTTTTAACCTTCCATCGTCAACTGTCAAGTCCTCGCAATTAAATAATTCTAAAACAAATATTAATAAATGTAAGCGCGTATTGTTACATAAGATGTGCTATATTTTTAAATGTACTGAAAGAGGTCCAAAAACGGATTTATCAAGTTCAATTGTGGATATCGCATGAATACTTAATGTTTATATATTTTGATTTCAGAGTAATTTATGTAAGATTTTTATTTAAAAATATATAAATGGAGTATACGAATAACCTTTAGTAAACACTAAAATTTTTTTTATTAAAATTAGAACGGAAAATTATGTGATTTATTATGTATTTAAACTTTTATATTTTAAATGTTGATATATTACTGACAAAAATATCATTTACTCTTAAAAAATAAAATAAAAATTATTTATGTTTTTCAGTTAAACGAACAATTTTGTTATATAAATGCTTTTCCTTTGTATTATATTTTTTTGAAATTCCTGTAGGTGTCTTCAATGTATATTTTACTATTGTTTCAGTTTTCAAATTGGTTCTAATAACAATCTATTACCAAATTGATTATAAAAAAAAAAATCAACAAAAGGAGACAATTTTTTTAATCTCAAATACATTAAATAAGTGCATGCAAATCGAGAATTATACCTCTCCCAAATATTTATATTCATTTTTAGGTATAAGTAGGTATATGAAATATCGTGAATGTCATGTTTAATATGATCTAATCCGTACAAAAAACTTTACATTATTTGTACAAACTATATTTTATTTGTTTTATAGATATTTTGGAGTTAATAATTTCTTGTTATATACATTTTATAAGACATAACTGGAATATTTATATCAATATAGGTAATTTGTTTTTTGTGTTAAGGTTTTTTTTCATTGTGTTCTACTTCTATATTTGATTAAACTCAGTATATTTTCAATTAGGATGTGACGCATTTCCTAAAGCGCATCGTTGAAAAGAATTAGGTATAGTTGTTGCAAATTTCAAATAATAAATATATAGCAATCCATTTGATATAAATGATTAATGTTTCATGTTTAGATGTTATAGTTACTACAGCTATATAGTAGTTAATAAGTAAACTTATTTATTTTTAAGAATTTCATAACACATTCTTTAATAGGTATGTACTTTATGTACGCAGTGCCTAGACTAAATTACCTAACCACTTTACTGAATACACTTGTTCTGTATTTTTCACTGTCAATATGTGCTTAAAACTTTTTTAAACTTCGCATTACTTAATAATTAATATAGTATTTTTAATTATTTATTATTTTTTTAGTATCTGTTATTGGGCGTTATCTGAATTTAATTACTTGTTTGTGTAAAATGTACTTGGTAAAATTGATTTTCTAGGATTTAATTTTATCATTATTATGATTTAATTAAAATTTATTAAAAACTCCATTTAATATTTCAATGGTTATATGTACATTTTTCAGACAAAATTGATGCTTAAAATTAGCCTTTTTATATATTATAAGTTGAAAATAGACCATTTTTTTTTTTTACGGATAAAATGTTTTGGAAAAATAATAAGCAAATACAGTAAAATTTACATTACATACTTAATACTTAGGTAATATTTGAACATCATCTTGACAATTTAAAAAGAATAATACACGTATAATGTTATTTTGAAGTGAAAGGAGTGAGATGAGTGCCTAAATTAGGAATCGTTAACTGGACAGCTTTTTTACTATTTATTATTATTATTTTTTTGCTAAATTTATGAGATTGTTGATAGCTTTTTTCAAATATGAATAGATACTGAATATTTTAAGTTTATAATTTAATTAGGTGTTCTAGTTTAGATTATCATGTCAGTTCATTGCTACAATGTAGGAAGTTACAATGAAACATGTAAATGAATCAGATTGTAGATGTACTGACAGATATACGTACGTAGAAAATAAATTCGGTGGAGGGGGTTAAAAATCACAATTTATATAAACTTCAAATTAAAAGTTATAATATATAAAAAATATAATTTTTCATACATAATTTTAGTGGTGTGTGTGTGTGTGGGAAGGGGGATGTTTGAACTTGTTGATAGATAC